ATACCTAAAAATCTTGGTAAGGGCAATCATGAAGATTTTGTTGCTAGTTGTTTTTTTTTTTTTTTTCTCTAGAAGATGTATAGTTTAATATAGGTTTTGAATTTAGATTTATAATCATTTTCAGCTAATTTTGCCCACAGTGTGAGGTATGCTTGAAACCTTTCTTTTTAAAATTTTTGTATTAATATATACACTTGTTCAAGTACCATTTGATAAAAAATTCTATTTTAAAAGGCTTTGTATTTATGTCAAAAATACTTATTATATGCATATGTGTGTATTTTTATGAACTTTATCACCTGTTTTGTTGATATATTTGGTTACATTTGCTAACCCTATACTGTCTTTAAATTTATTGGTTCATTTTAGTTGTACATGACAGTAGAATCAACCTTGATATAATTATACAAACATGGAATATATCTTATTCTAGTTAGGATCCCATTCTTATGGACGTACACGATGGTGGGATTCACTGTGTTGTTTTCATATGCACATGGGAAAATTATGTGAAATTTATTTTACTGTCTTTTCCTTGCCTAGCCCCCTTCCTTCTCTCCATTCCCCATCATCTCATCTACAAAACTTCATCTTTTCCCCTCAACAACCCTATTGTGAAATAGCTTTCACATAGCAGAGAAGACATTCCACCTTTGACTTTTGGGGACAAGTTTATTTCACTTAGCATGACAGTCTCAGATCCATCCATTTGCTGGAAAATATAAAGTTGTTCTTCTTTATGAATGAGCAATATTCCACTGTGTATAGATACCACATTTTAAAACTTCATTCTCTGTTGAAAGGCACCTACATTGGTTCCATAGTTTAGCTATAGTGAATTGTGTTGCTATAAAGATTGACGTGGCTATGACTTTATAGTTTGCTGATTTTAAGTCCTTTGGGCATATGGCAAGGAGTGAGATAACTGGGTCAAATGGTGGTTGCATTCCGAGTTTACTGAGGAATCTCCATACTGCTTTCCGGAGTGGTTGCATCAATTTGCAGTCCCACCAGCAATATATGAATGCAATGGTTTTCTCACATACTCACCAAAATTTATGGTTTCCTTTATTTTTGATAATTGCCATTCTGACTGAAGTAAAAAAGAATTTCACTCTAGTTTTTATTTGCATTTCTCTAATGGATAGTGATGTTGAAATAATTTTAATATAACTATTTGGCATGCATATTTCTTCTTCTATAAAGTATCTATTCTGTTACTTTACCCATTTATTAATTGGTTTATTTGTTTGTTTGTTTGTTTTGTGTGTGTGTGTTAAGTGCTTTGATTTCTTTATATATCCTGGAGATTAATGTTCTCTCTGAGGTACAGGTAGCAAAGATTTTCTTCCATTCTATAGGCTATCTCTTTATGTCCTTGATTGTTTCCTTTGTTGTGAATAAGCTTTTTAGTGTGATGCCATATCATTTATTGATCTTTTATTTTACTTCTTTCACTTTAGGAGTCTTGTTAAAGAAGTCATTTACTGAGCCTACATGTTGAAGTGTTGGGCCTACTCTCTTTTCCAGAGTATATAGGATTTCTGGTCTAATACCTAGGTCCTTGATCTACTTTGAGCTGAGTTTTGTGTAAGGTGAAACATAGGGAATAAATTTCACTGTACTACATATGGATTTCCCGTTTTCCCAGCACCATTTGTTGAAGAGGCTCTCTTCTCTCCAATATATGTTTTTGGTCTCTTTTCTAAAGATTGTTTCGACTACTTTGGGTTTCTTACTTTCCAAATGAATTTTGTGACTGCTTTTTCTATTTTCATGAAGAATTTTTTGAATTTTGATGGTAATTGAATTAAATCTATATAGTGCCTTTGGTAGTACAGCCATTTTGACAACATTAGTTCTGCCTATCTAAGAACATAGGAGGTCATTCCATCATCTTGTAAGGTATTCCTTAATTTCTTTCTTTAGTGTTCTGTGTATAGGCCTTTCAACTCTATTGTGGATTGATTCTCCCAATACTTTTTTCAAGCCTACTGTGAATGGGATAATTTTCTCAATTTCTCTTTCATATGATACATAATTGGAGCATAAGAATGCAGTTGATTTATGAATGTTAATTTTGTAACTGGCTACTTTGCTGAATTCATGTATGAGTTCTAGAGGTATCCTGATGGAATTTTGGGAGGCTTCTCAATATAGAATCATATCATCAACTAACAAATAGTTTTATCTCTTTTTCTACTCTTATCCCTGTTATTTCATTTTTTTGCCTTATTGCGCTGGCTAGAGATTTCAAGACTATTTTGAATAGAGTAGTGAAAGAAGGCATCCCTATCTTGTTCTTGTTTTTAGAGGTAATGTTTTCAGTTTTATTTTATTTTTTTAATTTAGAATGCTATTCGCCTTGGGTTTGTCATATATAGCTTTTACAATGTTGAGTTATAATTTTTCCTATAGTGTCTTATAACTATCTTGTTGTAATACTTTAAATATGATAATATAGGTCCTCTAACATTTTTTTTTGTTTTACAACTTTAGATTTTTGGCATTTTACATAAGTTTTGGAAGCAGCTTCTCAACTTATATATAAAATATCTGAATGATTTTAATTGAAAAATACATTTAGTATATTCATTTAAGGAGAAATGACATTTTAACAGTATTTTACTATAAAAAGAACAAGAGATACCTCTTTATTTTGTGTTTTATTAATTTTTGTTAGCAACATTTTGCAGTTCTCTTTGTATACATGTTTTTCACACTTACACATATTTCATAATGATAGTACTGTTATAAAAATGTTAAAAAGTTTAATTTCCAACTATTCATTATAATTATGAAACATACAATTGATTTTTTATCAATGTCATGTCTTGCAACTGTATTCACAGTTACAGCATATTTTTATTTGTTTACTTAGTTTTTGTAGATACTTAGGATTTTATGTAAGGAATTTTGTCATCTGCAAATAATGAAGTTTAGATTTTTATCTTATAATGTGTATTTCTTTCCTTCCTTCTCTCTCTCTTTCTTTCTTTCTTTCTTTCTTTCTTTCTTTCTTTCTTTCTTTCTTTCTTTCTTTCTTTCTTTCTTTCTTTCTTTCTTTCTATTTGACCTGTTATACTGGTTAGAATCTAGAATAACATTGAATAAAATGAGGGAGAGTGGTCCTTATTTCCTTGTTCGTGTTTTATTTCTGTTCATATATCTATTCTGTTTTTCAGGAATGAAAATTCTTTTAATTCTTCTGTACCTATTGAGATATTATTATGATTTTTTTAGTGTGTTAATACAGTGAAATATTTTTATTTTTTGATTTTAAAAAAATCTTATATCAACAATTATTACTGGCATAAATCACATCATCTCCTGAGGCATTATGTTTTGTTGATCTCAAAGAATGGATGTTTTAAATTTGACTTTTCTATATAGTTTCTCTCTCTCTCCCTCTCTTTTAACTTCTTTGATTTTCCTCTGATCTTTGTTCTTTCTCTTCTTAATTTTGGGATTAGTTCCTTTTCTTCTAGTTTCTTAAGGTGGAAATTGAGGTTATTGATTTAAGAATTTTCTTCTTTTTTTTGCAGTGTAGTTTACTGGTATAAATTTTCACATTACCTTGAAAATTACTGAGCTTTACTTTGAGAGATAGTGAAGCTATTTGGAGTGAGTTTCATTCTTTCATGTCTTGCTTTAAAGGTTTGCTAGGATGAGAACACAGTTTAGTCTAGGGTTAATTATTTTTCACTGCTGCAGTAAGACTTCCAAGGCCTCAACTCAGACCCATGAATCAGAGTGTTTCTACAGCTAGCTCCTATTGAAAGACATGGTTACCAGACCTGTGCCAACTTTGGTACTCTCTGTTGCCGTCTCCTGGCTTCTTCTCCAACTGGCATGTGTGTGCACTTGCCAGTGCCTAGCTGAGTGCCCAGGAGCACCTGGGCACCCCTGAGCTCTATTTTCCAACTCCTGCCTTATGAGATCTAGCCTCTGTCCTGTCATAATTCTGCCTTTCCATAATCTCACTCAGGAAGTTCTTTGGGTTTTGTTTGGATTCCTCCATGCTAATTGCGTCTACCATGGAATACATATCATGTGTTTTCTTTTATTGAGGAATTACTGCCTTTTCTGACATCCAAAGCATTAATTAATTTTGCCTCATGTATTTTTATAAGATTCTAAGTTGCTTTTGTAAAACAAATATGAGCCCTTCTAATTCATCTTGATCTGAAAATTTGGTCTTCCTTGTTCAATTTTATTGCCAGAATATATTTACCTGTTTTAATTGCTCATGTTGTAAACTTCTGCAAAAAGAACCTGGACCTTATTATTCTGAATATTCCATATGAAGTTCCAAGAATTTGATAAGTGTCTGCTATGTGACTGGTGATTCCTTACTGAATGTTTTTGGTAATGTTATTCTCATAATTTTGACTTGATGATTTTGGTTTATACTACTGAAAAATCCAATAGTTTATACAAATTCAATGATTAAATAAAATTACAGGTGAAGCATCCCTAACTCACAAATCAAAAATGATATATTCCAAAATCTCAAACTTTTTGAACATGGACATAATGCTGCATGTGAGAAATTCCACAATGACATTGCAGGATTGGTTGCAGTAGCAACATGGGCATCGTAAAAAAATATTGTATGGAACCAACTTTGGGCTATGTCTTTATGCATGGAACATTAATGAAATTTGTGTTTAGATGCAGGTCCTATTTCCATATTTGTATGCAAATATTCCAGAATCTGAAGAAATCTGAAACTACTTTGTTTATAAAAATTGTGGATTAGAGATACTAATCCTGAGCAATAGAAATATTAAATAAACACATGACAATACTAAAGATGATAAAACATTTAAAATAAACTATGAAGTGTATTATAACAATCCATTTAGTGGATGATATTTTTATCTGATAATTTTAATTGATTACATCCAATTCATCTTAATCATTTTTTTTGAGCACAAGTATATGTGGATATATGAATACCTGTCTTTTCACTGTAAAAACATTTTAATTTATTCCAGGTGATTGTTAAATCTGGGCCAGGGACTTTCCTCAGTCTGGCAGTTTATGACAATTACATCTTCTGGTCAGACTGGGGAAGAAGAGCTATCCTGCGTTCCAACAAGTACACAGGAGGAGACACAAAGATTCTTCGATCTGATATTCCACACCAACCAATGGGAATCATAGCTGTTGCCAATGACACAAATAGCTGTAAGTTACATTAGAAAAAAAGTCCTAATTTTATGATATGATCTCTCAAAAATTATCGGTGGATTTTTGTTTTCTCTTAGTTCTAGAGACCAGTGTTCAGGATTAGAGTCTTCGATATACTGAAATCTTCTGAAATGTTTAAGTATCTTTGAAAATGCCTTGCCACCAGAGGAACAATTATTTGTGTCTGGAGTTTTATTCCACTGTCTGATACTTCTCATATCTGAATATTCAGACTGAGTTGGTTCCAGAATAATGATATTTCTCTATAAGCTTTGTATCAGGGCTTAAAAATCCTTCAATCACTGTGCTACTCACAAAATTGCAGTTTACATTATCATTTTGGTTCCTAGAAGAACTATTTCATTTGAGACCATGGTATCCTTGACAAATCCAGTAGAAATATTTGTGTTATATATTTTTCTAATGTAGTTATCATTCAGAAAGTTTGGATTTTCAAAAGTTCTGAAATGTTGTTATATCTTTGAGAGATCAGAGCTGTTTGATATCTTTCTATTAATCTGTATCTGTCATAGAATAGGTACTCAGTATGAAATGTTGCCAATAAAGCCTCTTCATTGCAGGTGAACTTTCTCCATGTGCATTATTGAATGGGGGTTGCCATGACCTCTGCCTTTTAACCCCTGATGGGAGAGTAAATTGTTCCTGTAGGGGGGACCGAATATTGCTAGATGACAACAGATGTGTGAGTAAGTAAAGACAAACACGATATAGTATGACTTGTCTGCTCAGAATAGCTTATTTATCTACTGAAATGATTCAAATGTACTCATGAAATCATAATATCCTCCAATATTAGAAGTTAAGCTGGTTTATCTTTCTCTTGTAAGAACTCAGTTCACCCTTTTATTTAGTTACAGTACCCTGTGACAGAGAGTATCACACAAGGCCCCTGGTGCTTATGAACTGGAAGGTGTTGGAGCTACAGAAGTACCAACACAATGAGCATCTGAAAACTTGTAGCTGTGACTTTGTGAGAATCAGTCAATTACAAAATTAATTAAAGCTGAAATAAACTGGAATATAGGCAGTATATCCGTAGTCTTGCAGTAAAACCACTCACAGTCCATCACAGTATGTAAATGAGAGGGAATGGCTCATGCAGCTTATTTGTAATCATTTCCAAACTGTTAATTAAGAATGTAACATTGCAGTCTTGCATGATGTTTATGCTTCCCAAAGGCATTACAATCTTTAATTAGTATCATTACAATATACACTTATTAACAGCTAGGTTTCCAAAACTCTTTCCAAAATAAATAACGGTTCAAGTATTCCGATATTGCTGTGAAAAATTAGCAAGCAACATAAAAAAGGTTAATTTCCCCTTAACATTAAGACTATCTCTATATGAGAAAGGTAGAATGAGAATCATCTTGTTAGAAATTGATCAACTCACTCTCAAAATGTTGATTTGAAAATTTTCCTCACTTATATCCTCATCTCTTATTTTTTTATCATAGAAGATAAGCAGAGCTAGATATATTTACATTATAAAATAAATATTTTTATATTTATCTTCAGTCTTTTTCTAATCTTCAATCAGCAGGAGGATCTTCTCTTTGACCTGCTGTGTACTGTATCACTTTGCACATTTGTACTGTAACCCAAAAGCATACCTCTTAGCAAAATGGAGAGAAGTCGTTTTGTTTAAGAATTTGCCAAAGCAAATGAGAGAATCAGTGAATGTAAATGCAGAGAGTCAACTTTAGTAACTCAGGCCACAGATCCCCCACCCCCGCTTTTGTTTTTGGTCACCTAACACTTCCCTGGATTGTTCAAGCAATGGCTTAAACTCTCAATTTTCCTTCCTGGTTTCAGTTCTAATGACCTGTATCTGATGCTGTCTGTAAACCTGGAATATTAGTCATGCATTGGAATCACCCATGTTTCCTTCACAGGTCACTGCAGGCTAGTGTCAAAGCACTGACTTTAGTCAAAACAGCAAGGCTTATTTGTATACAGTGCAGGCCTATTGCTGCAAAATAGTCTATATACAACTGTGCCTCCTAAGCCAACTGCTTCTCTCTATGTATGAGAGGAAATAAATCAATCAGAAAAACATGATTTTAAACAAGCACAGTTTCATTCTTATGGAACTTTAGAGTGATACAGGAGTCCTCAGGGGTGACAAATTGTTATAGAGAAAGACTGTATCCATTGCACATGTATACTGAAATCCTGTGTTCTAGTGGAGAGATTGGAAAGTAACTGTAAGCTTCTTTTTGTGAAATCCATCTTTGAAATATGAGAATGTTTCTGGTACATCTGTGTTCATACCTGAATGAGCTCACCTGGAGTTCCTTCTGTATGTTAATGGCATCATAAAATGGGTAAAAGGCCATTTACAAACACCTTCCTGAGGACAAAGGAGGGAAAACCATTTTTTTTTTTTGTCATAACTGTGGACAAAAGATTAAGCAGTTACGTAGTTCCTTTAGAAGCAACATTGATAACCTTATCAACATCCAAAACAGAAAAAAAGAAAAACAAACATAATTTTTAAGTAAATATCATATAAGAGAATGACAGCTAAACCACATTTTTGTTTCTAGACAGAAACAGAAAATATTCAATATAATTTTATGAAATGAGCTCACCTGAGCAAGAAGTATACCCATACTGTATTGAATTTTGCATAATTGAAAAAAAATGGGAGTTTAGTACTGTAGTCCATAGTAGTAAAATCAGGGACTAGGGAGACTAGGGAAAGGGGATCACAAGTTCAAGGCCAGCCTTGTCAATTTAGCTGTTTCAAAAGAAAACATAAAAGGCTGGAGTTGTATCTCAGTGATAGAATATCTTTGGGTTCAAACCCCATTACCATAATAAATAAATAAATAAATAGATAGATAGATAAGTGTATACTTTAATTTCCCCCCAGAAGTCATAATTACAAAACTATAAATATGGCATTTTCCATCACAGCAGTTTTTCTTTTTTATTGGACAGGAGAAATGAATAGATTAGTCTTAAAATAGGCAAAATAAGTCAAGAATGCCAATAAACTTGCAGTAAGTATCTGAATTTTGCTCAGCTCACGATCTAAGGTGATTATTCCTAGTGATGTTAGCTCCCTTTGTAGTACTTTTTCCTTTTAATTTAACAATTTTTATATCTTTATTACCTTCTTTAAAATTGTGTTCTGCCTTTGCTACTCACTGACCAGTGGAGTTTATAATGCACCAGGAAAAAAATATTTAGAAAATGTTATTGAAAGAGTTAAATTAGTAGTCTTAGAAAAACACATGGGTATAAAAATGTGTTAAATGCTAGTTGAATTAAAAAATTATAAGAAAATGAAGTACTGGAATTCCAATGGTATTAGTGGCTCTTTAATCAATTATTCCTCAAAAAAAGCCTCAAAAATTTTATAGTGAGGGTCTGAGATTGTGGCTCAGTGGTAGAGCGCTCACCTAGCACGGGCGGGACCCGGTTCAGTCCTCAGTACCACATTAAAAAAAAATAAATAAATAAAGGCATTGTGTTGTGTCCATCTACACCTAAAAAACAAATATTAAAAAAAATTTATAGTGAATTCTAAAATTAAGCTTTACCTCCTGCAAAGATTAATGAATTCTAATTACCTCCACCATATGACTTGCTTTCAAAGTATAATTATTCAATAAGTTGTAGAGTGAGTATATGCAAGCATGGAGCACACCCCAAAAATTGAACTCTGAAAACTTGCTAATAAGTGTATTTGTAAAAGTAAAAATGAGTTCGTTTTCCAAAATAGAGACCCTTAAAAAATATGGATCATGTGCTGGTATTGTCAACATAAAACTAACTTGTAGGAAAGGGTTTTTTTCCACATTTTTTAATGGTTGCCCTATGCTTACAATTCAAATAACCACATTAAAAACAAAATGAAACAAAAGAATCCTAATTTTTATGGAAATCCTGAAACTTAGAAATGGGACAATATGACAGTGTTCAGTTGGTGTCCATAAACTTTAGGTGTACATGCTTTCTAGATTATCATTGCATTCTACCAGCACATCCCATGGATTCCTGTGCATATTAAGCACATATTAATCTAGTCATGTGTGACAGGAAGAGAGAACTTGTTCCTTAGTTTTTCCCACATACATGAATGAGGCAAGAAGCTGATGATGATGATTTTAGCCATATCCTTCTTCTGAAGGATAGAATTGGCTACTGAGGTTTCAACAGAAGGTAGTTGGTGTCAACAGATGAAGATGCATATAAAATACTATGATTGAACATTGAAGAATTTCATTGGATTAGACAAAAGGGAATTAAGGGAAGGGAGGAGAGATGGGAATAGTAAAGACAGTAGAATGAATTGGACATAATTTTCCTATGCTCATATATGAATACACAACCAGTGTAATTCCACATCATGTTCAATCAAGGAATGGGATCAAAATCATACGGGTGGCACCCCATGTTTGTATAATATGTCAAAATACACCCTACTGTCATGTATATTTTAAAACAAAAACAAACAAAAAAGAAGTTAGTTGGTGAAGAAGCCCAAGTTAGAAGTAGGGACAAGTGGGGAAATTCATTTGATTGAGATGATTTCAAATCTGGCATTAAAAAAAGGGTGCACCCCCTTCCTGTAAAATTTCAGTGTATTGAATATATCATAGATTCTAACAAAAAATATAAAAACCACTATCAGTATGCACAAAACTATTTACCTAACTCTTTGTAAACATTTACTTTTAAAATAGACTACTAGGAACAGGGAATATGGCTTAGCGGCAGAGCATTTGCCTGGCATGTTTACAGACCTTGGTTCTGTCTCCAGAAACACACACACACACACACACACACACACACACACACATACACACACACACACACACACACACACACAAAACACACACATTGTTGATCTAGTTGCACAGTCATTTGAATTTATACTACTCATTCCCTGCACACATATGCAAAAATTAAATAGTATTTAATACACAAATAGGCATAAAAGAAACAGTCATGCAATGCCCCCAAAACAAATTGTAAAAACAAATGAGAGTAAGAATAAAAATATTTTCTGATGAGTTTAATAAATTCTATCAAGCATTACTCTTCATTGAATTTTATAAACAATTGTAGTTTATGTTTGATTAAGGAATAAAATAGTCATGATATTAAAAAATGTTACCCAAAATATTGACTTCTTTTTATTTCAGCTAAAAATTCCTCTTGCAACATTTATTCTGAATTTGAGTGTGGAAATGGTGAATGCATCGACTACCAACTCACTTGTGATGGTATTCCTCATTGTAAGGATAAGTCAGATGAAAAACTGCTTTACTGTGGTAAGTGTCCAATATATGACTTGATCATTACAGAGTACAGTTTCTGATTCTTCTTATAATTTTTTATTTGCCTTCCTTTTTTAAAAAAAAATGTAAAGTTTATCTTTCTCATTAATGTGTAGGTCTAAGGAAATTGATTTGTCTCTGCTTGTGTTAAAATGAGGCACCTTATTTCCTATCCAGTAACCATGATATTCCTTGAAGAATTTTCTCATGGATTTTCATCCATGATGTGCAAATTAAATCAAAGTAGAAACCTATCTTTTAAACAGCTTTGTGATTCATCTTTAGCAGTAGGTGTTAGGCTTTCTTTAAAATGTTAATCAGAAATATTAATGATTTTGGGTATTGTAGTCTTATTCTATAGCAAAGGTCCACCTCCAGTCAATAGCATGTGGTGGGCTTGGAATCAGTCTTGTTCACTCTATGTTGCTAGAATTAGCACAGAGGCTAGTATTCTTTGGTACAGAGGTAAATTGCCTTAGGTGTGATCCTCATCAAGTATGACTGTCACAAGATGTGCCTCTGTTGATGACACCAAGTAATACTCAATCTATATCTCCTTCAGAAGAGGAGAATGGCTTTTCTACCCTAGGGGGAAAAATGCTGCTGTATTTTTCCAAGAAATTTACCTTTGTGCTATTTTGAAATGTAATGAATTGTTGTCAACCAGAGTTATCCTATAGTCTTATAGAACATTAGAAGTTGTTCCTAATGTTCTAACTGTATCTCTACATCCATCAACCATCATTTTCCAACCCTTCCTCTACTGATCCCTACCTAGTCTCTGGTAGCCACTATTAATTTTTCTCTGCTACTTTGAGAAACTGTAATTTCCACATATATGTAAGAATATGTGATATTTGTCTTTCTGTATCTGATTTATTTCTCTTAATGTCCTCTTGTTACATCATGTTATTGCAAATGGTGAGATTTCATTCTTTATGACTGAAAAAATATATTATTGTATATATGTGCTGCATTTTATTTATCTGTTCACCCATCAACAGACACCTTAGTTGATTCCATATCTTGGCTACTATGAATAAATGTGCTAGTGCAGATATCTCTTCAACATGCTGATTTTAATTTCCTTGTATATTTGCTCAATAGTGGAATTGCTGGATCAAATGGTAGCTCCATTTCCAGATTTTTTAAGGAAGCTCCATAATGTTTTCCATAATTTACACTCCTGTCAACAATGTTGGAGATTTTCCTTTTCTCCCACACCCTGACTAGCATTTGTTATCTTTTCTTTTTGATAATTGTCATTCTAATTGGGGTGAGAGGATAACTCATGGTGGTTTTGATTTGCATTCCCCTGATGATTAGTGATGTTGAGCACTTTTTCATATACTTGTTGGCCATTTGTATGTACTTAAATATATAATATATATATAGATAGATATGTGTGTGTGTGTGTGTGTGTGTGTATGTTATTTTTTTCCTATTGAGTTTTTTGAGTTCTTTTTCATTTCTGGCTAATAATACCTGTTAGATAAATATTACATTTTTTTCTTTAGTCTTCGTGTTCTTTATTTATTCTCTTATTTTTGTTCTTTCTTTCCTTCTTTCAATTGGATGTTTGGTTTATCCTCACTTTTGTAGTTCCTTGAGTTGTATTGACAGGTTTTAATTTTAAGTTCTTCTACATTTTTTGACATAGGCCCTTGTTGCTATAAACTGCCCTATTAATATTACTTTTGATGTATTTTATGGGTTGGAGCATTTTGTTTTCATCGATTTCAACAACAATTTTACATTTCTCATTTCATTTCTTAATTGGTTGTGCAATTCTATTGGTTGTGCAACAGAATGTTGTTTAATTTCTATGTATTTGTATAATTTTTAAAGTTTCTCTTGTTGTAGATTTCTGGTTTTATTCCATTGTATTCTGAGAAGATGGGTGGTATGATTTTATTTCTTTTAATTTGTTCAGAGTTGTTTTGTGGCCTAACGTATGATCTGTCTTGGAGAATGTTTCAAGTGCTGGTGAGAAGAACATGAATTATGAAGCTTTTGGGTGAAATGTTCAGTAAATGTCTGTTAAGGCCATTGATTGATGGTATAATTGAACCTCAATGTTTGTTTCTTGATGTTTTTGTCTGGATGATCTGTCTTTTGATGAAAGTAAGATGCTTAAATCCTCAACTATTGTTGTATTAGAATTTGTAGCTCCCTTGAGAACTAATAATGTTTGCTTTACATAATTAGTTGCTCCACTATTGGATGCATAGATATTTGCAATTGTTATTCCTCCTGTTGAATGGGTATCTTTATCATTATATAGTTACCTTGACTATTTTTATATTTTGTATTTTAAGTCTATTTATCTAATGCACATATGTAGTTACTCGTTCTTGCTTTTTATTTCTATTTGCATGTTATATCTTTTTTTTCACTTCTTCACTTTCAGGCTATGTGTGTCTTTACTGATATGAATTATTTTTTTTGTAGGAAGCATATAATTGGGTCTCTCATTTTTTAGTCCGTTCAACAAGTCTGTATCATTTAATTGGGGAATCCCTTATCTTTTATTCAATGTTACTATTGATAAATAAGAAAATATTTTTGTTGTCTTGTTCAATTTATTACCAATTGCTTTATGGGGCTTTGTTCCTTTCTTCCTCTTCTTCTTCATTTTTGTGGTTTGGTGATTTTTTGTGTCAGTGGGGTTTGGGCCTCTTTTTATCTTTTGTATATCTGCTCTATTATTGAGTTTTGTACTTTTTCATGTTTTGATGATGGTAGTTATTATCCTTTATCTTCTAGTGTAGGATTCCATTAAATATTTCTTTTTTTAAATTTTTTTAAATTTTTTTTCAAAATTTCACTTTTATTTGATGGTAAAATAAATTTTTAAAAGTATTAATCAGGGAAACTTGAACAATGATTGGATGTTATTTTAGGTAGCAGAGGTATATTTTTAAATTTTTATTTTATAGTACTCATATGGAAATACTTAAATGTGAAATTATATAATGCCTTAGATTTGCTTTAAAAATATCTGTAATAAGAGGGGAAGTGGATACACATAAAACACAATTGCCCAGGAGTTGATACTTATTGAACTGGGTGATAGGTACCAGGAAATTAATCACACTGATTCCTTTATTTATATATACGGTTCAATACTCCTTAATTAAAGTTTTTAAGTAAATAAGGGTATTAGTGCACAGGCTAACTTGATGGAAAAAATAAAGTTAGGTACATCATACTTTATATCAGGCACCAAAGTAAGTTCTAGAATAATTCAATGTAAATAACAAGTAAGGCAGAACCAGAGGAAAATGTGGGCAGATACTTAATAAGCTCAAGGAGAAAAATATTATTTTAAGCATAAACTAAAGGAAAATATCAATTGATCTATGAAAAAATTAAATTTCAACATGAAAACAAAAAAGTCCCCTCAACAAGTCAACAAAAAACTGTAAGATAAAGCATTGTTACACTTAATATAAAAGAGCTTTTAGAAAGTGATAAAAGAATAACATCTCAATATAAAACATGTCAAAGATCAAAGGAAATGAATGAGAAAAAATATTTATTTATTTATTTGTTTATGGTACCAGAGATTGAACTTAGGGGCACTCAGCCACTGAGCCACATCCCTAGTCCTAGTTTGTATTTTATTTATAGTCAGGATCTCACTGAGCTGCTTTGCTGAGGCTGACTTTGAACTTATGATCCTCTTGCCTCAGCCTCCTGAGCTGCTGGGATTACAGGAAATTTATTTTAAAGTTCCTCTTGCCTCAGCCTCCTGAGCTGCTGGGATTACAGGAAATTTATTTTAAAGTACAAAGAAATGACAAATAAATAAATAAATATGTATGTGATGTATATGTATATAATTATATACATATATAATTATATAATGCAATCTCAGATCCAAAATGGTTCCGCTTATTTTTACTATCAGATGAACAAATCTTTTAAAATAAATCTTGGAGAAGATGGAGGGAAGGAACCAGGTACACCTATCCATGGTATTACTTGATGATGAGCCACACAAAATTGCTGTCAGGGCTAGAGTTGACATGGGAGCCAATGCCTGGTATGGGGTTGTATATTGTATTCTTTTTTCTTTAGTCTCCATTTCCTTTATTTATACTCTCCATTTTTGTTCTTTCTTTCCTTCTTCCATTTGAAGGTTTGGTTTATTCCTACTTTTTTAGTTCCTTGAATTGTATTGACAGGTTTTAATTTTAAGTTAAATTAAATTTAAATCTTAAAGCCCTGGAATGGGCTTTAAAATCATACCTGAGGTTAAATCTATGTTACCAAACGTTTTGTTCTGTGACTAGAATGGTCAACACAGCTCACTTATCTGTCTTTTGATTTTTTACAGCAACCAAGTAGTTCTAATAGTGATAGAGACCATTAAATAAGCAACTGTATATTTACTTATACTCAACACAGATTTTAGTAAAAATTTAGTATTCAGAAGATGACAGCTATTATTATTAGTAGTAACTTCTGCCCCAAATAAGAGAATGTCAAAAGACCTTCATTAAGGTAAATAGAATTCAGAAGATAATTCATCTTCTTAGGAAATTGAACACAGTTTGACCATAATCATAAAAGAAATTTATTGATATTCAGGTGACTTTGACCTGCTATTTCAGGAATACATGATTTTCTGCTTTTCTTTTTTTTTAATACAAAGCCTTTGCAGAAGCAAATGAGTTGATGATGAACACTGGGATGTTTTTGTTATTTTTGAGATAGATATTTGTTTCTTTTGAATTTAATATGTGATATATGTTTATTAATATGATAGTTGACAACAGTGTGAGTAAGAGGAAAATAGTTTGGGTATAATTTTAGGATATCTCCAAGTCTGAAACACTGATTAAAAAAGATCTTAACTGAATGAACTACTCCTTGGTTTGGTGACTATTATATCCAGTCCTTTAATACTACATGCACAGTACTTGTTTATACAGCCAAATCCAATCATTATGAATGAAATCTTCTCTGTAATTTTCATCTTGTAAAAGTGTTTCTATGTGACCTCAAAGTATGACTTTCTACTTTCATTTATAAGAAAACAGAAGCTGTCGAAGAGGTTTTAAGCCTTGCTACAATCGTCGTTGCATCCTTCATGGCAAGTTGTGTGATGGTGAAAATGATTGTGGAGACAACTCTGATGAATTAGACTGTAAAGGTAAATTTTCTTTCTTTCTTTTTTATTTTTGCATCACCCAATAATATTTTTATAATAAGTCTGCCTTAAACTTTTCCAAAATTTGTTGTAGTGGGCAACAATGTTTGTAATACCTAATAACACCTATGGACTACATTTTGGTAAATGATATTATAATGGAACTGGAGATTATTATGTTATGTGAAATAAGCCAGGCATAGAGGGATGAGTTCTTCATGATCTCACTCATCAGTGGGATGTAAAATAGTTGAGCTCAGGGAAGTTGAGAGTAGAATATTTGTTACTAAAGGCTAGGGAGACAAGAAGAGGGAAGGGGAAGGGAAAGGTTGTTCTATGGATACTAATATGCATTTAGTTAGGCTCAAGGAGTTCTGGTGTACTATTGTGCAGTGGAATGACTATAGATAATAATGCAATGTGGGTTTCAAAAAGCCAACAGAGGATTTTTGAGTTTTCAAGACGCACACACACACATACATACACACACACACACAGAGATAAATGCCTAAAGAGTTAAATATGTTTGACTAGATTATATTTTATAAAATGTGTAAATACACCAAAACATCACGTGGTACCCCATTGACATCTGCAATTTTTATAAATCAGTTAAAAATGAATTTAAATGTAATGACTGTATTTTTTTTGTTTCAACTGCTTCATTGACTTTTAAATTCTTGTCTTTTTTTCACTACTACAGTTTAATCTGCCTGTTCTTTGGACTTTTCTAACAAAATATGTAATACTGAATTTATAGGTCCAAAGTGCTCCCCTTTTCTCAATCTGGCTTTACCCATGATCTCATTTTCTTAATGATTTGACTGGAAACCTTAATGCTATCTCTGTGATGCTTCCTTCCTACATATTTATCTCCTCTTTGGCTAATCATTCTCCCAATTCTTTGAAATATCTTTCCTGTTCATCCATTTTAAGCGTGGGTTCAATGTCCTTTTAATGTTTTTCCCTGCCTATACTTTTTCAAATTCCTCCCAATGCTATTAATCATGCTAATACTATTTAACATTCCCCTCAGTGACTACTGGATAGACATTTAAACCAGGTTATCTTGATTAAAACCCAGTATTAACATTTTTTTGTCTTATTTTGTATAAAACACTTAAACAATCTATGCCTCAGTGTCCAAAACAGTAAACTAAAAAATGACATAAGAATATTAATATTGAATTAAATAATAAAATACTCAGAATTTTACTTAACATATAGTAAATGTCATATAGGCATTTGTTCTTTGCTTTTTCTTTTTTGAATCATTGACCTGATTAAGAACCACTAATCAAGTATCAATGTTTACATAATAAATGACATTGTGTTTTTGTCTGACATTTAAGGCTTTCTAAAATCTGGACCCAATCAATATTTCCACTTCTTAATTTTCTTTAAGAAGTCCACTATTGAACACACTTTTGTGAGTGAAGTGCATTAAGTGTGAAGACACTGAATTAATGAGATGTGGACCTCTTGCCTTTAAGAATTTCAAACCCTAAGTGACAGGTTGCCATGTAAACAGATGTAGATGAATATAAAATGCTATGATTGCACACATAAGAACACACCTTTTTTTTAACTTTTAAGTATCCTCCAAAATTTCATAGACAACATTAAATTTATCTCAGTCTTGAGGTTTAAATAAGGTGGAGAGATCAAAACAGATCAAAGTAGAGACATTAATATTGAAAGTTACAAGTACTTTGATTTATTTGGATTTCAAATGGGAGAGTGGTAAAAAAAAGAAAAAAGACTATAGTTATTAAAGGAAGGGGACAAAACATGAAGTGCATTATGTCCCGTTTTAAGGAACAGGCTTTATCTTGACCTCAACAGAAGTCTTAAGCCAAAGCATGGCCAATATGATCAAATATACATTAGAATTTTAAAAAGGAAGGAAAAGTATTATTGTACAAATAAAAATTATAATACTGACATCAGATTTAGAAAAGGGGCTGGGGATGCTACAACAAACAGCCAAAGCAAAGATTAAGGAGGGCGAAGACAGATATGATAACACTCTAAAAGATGGCATGTAAGAACTTCCTGAGTAATAAATAGAAAAATCATGGGGTGGAGAAGAATACAAAAATTTGAAGCAGGGGAGGGTATTTTTGACCTGTTATAAAATTATTACGTATTTTTTTAAAATTATTTTTCTGGACCTTTCTTTTGTGTTGGGAATGGGGATAAGATAACGAAGAGTATGTGCATTCTTGGATGGGAGCACTTGTAGACTTGTAGACAGTCAAAGGGAGCTGTTCCAAAGTCACTTGGATGGATAGCTCATAGTAGATTTAGACTAGAAGTACTGATTTTGGATTCATTAAGGAAAGAATAAAAAAACCTGGAGGGTGTACAGAGTGACGGTTGCATTAGCAGAGTGCATCAGAATTAATTGCTGAACTAAAAAAAAAAAAAAAAGAAGAAGAAGATATTCATAAAAAGAAGTAAAGCACAGTAGTAATTGAAGGGTACTTGTAAGAAAGTAATTTCTCAAGAAATGAAGATCATTCTATATTTAAAGTGCTCAAAGAGGGTAAGAGTGTAGACATGGACTACAAGCATTCATCATGGTTAGTAAATAGTGACAATCTCTCAACTACCTTCGTGAAAGTCAGTTTAATGAAGTGGTGGGGGAATACCAGATCACATTGAGTTAAGGCAGAAAATGGATGTTCAGGGAATAGAGAAAGTGAATGGCTACGATTGTAGAAAAGAGTGATGGAAAGTATGAAGTATGGTTGTGAAAAGAAGGCTATGCAGTGTTGAAGAAGAGAGAAGAATGTTTGCAAGTCATCTTAGAGCTGTCTGAAAGGTTGGGAGGTGAATGCTTCTCATATTACACTGACTCTTAGCCAACACTTGACTTTAGTGCTTTTTCATTTCTGTGACTAAAAGACCAAACCAGAACTATTATAGAGGAGGAATAGTTTAATTGGTGGCTCACAATTTCAGAGGTCTATTCTTTATTTGCAAGCACCAAAGAAAGGTGTATTAAAGGCATTTGTTTTAGTCAGTTTTTCCACTCCTATGACTAAAATATCTAACCAAAACAATTTTAGGGGGAAAAAGTTTATTTGGAGGCTCATGGATTCAGAAGTCTCAGTCCACAGACTGCAGGCTCCATTTCTCAGGGTTCAAAATAAGAGTGGGATAGAGGGAAGCAAAATTCACTTGATCAGGAAGCACAGAGAGAGACTCCACTCTCCAGATACAAAATATATACTCCAAAGCCCCAGCCTCAGTACCCATCTCCTCCAGCCCCATCCTACCCACTTTCAGTTACTACTCAGTTAATCCCTATCAATGGATTAATTCACTTATTATGTTAAGACTCTCACAACCCAATCATTTCTCCTTTGAACCTTCTTATATTGTCTCACCCGTGAGTTTTTGGAGAACTCCTCACATCTAAAGCATAACAGCATTGAACCAGTTAATGCTAAAAATATCAAGCTAAATGTGAAAACAGAACATAAATATAGAAAGTAGATTTTAAAAGCAAATGTTTTTCACAAGGAATCATCAAAGCTAATAATTACTATAGGCTTCTTTTTTCTGTTTTAATATTTTTATTAGCATATTATAGTTTTACATATTTTGAGGGCTCATTTTGACATATTCATAAGCATATAACACACTTTTCTCCATTTCAATCCCCAGTATGATGCCCTTTGCTTTTTCATCTCCCTCTTCCTGATATTTTTATTCTACTCTTTGATCTACAATTATTGATTTATTTTTTATTGGTGCATTATAGTTATACATAAAAGTGGAATTTGTTGTGACATAGTCATACAAGGATATACTATAATTTGGTCAATTTTATTCCATATTTCATTTTCTTCCTAGGAAATGAAAATTTGTTTTTAAAAGTGATAAATAAATTAGTATGTTTGTGTTTATGAAATATAGTGCCTAGGACATGGTAGGGGTTTATTGAATTCTTATGTAGATTGTTGAAGTCCTAAGTATTATAAGATCCATTTTATTCTACTTAATGATATCAATACCTGCTACAGAACAGCAACAAAAACCTCAAAATGTCATTTCTGCCTTTTAGTTTAAACTCTTTGCTTCTATGTAATAACCATAGAAGCAATGTTTGTGGTCCCAGAACAATGGATTCATGAATCAAGGATCTGTCACCATCATTTCTTTTGTGAAAATAGTATAAAAATTGTAGCAGTTGGATATCTTAAAATAAACAAAATATAAGTCTTGAAGTTCTCCTTTTAAAATACAGATAATTCACTGTAAAATTGTTCATGGACACCTAGCACATACTTCATTACTTGTAAGCAATTAGTGCATTTAATTATTTGGAGTAGCACCTACAGATAAACAAATAGGTAGCTTTGTAAATGAAAGTCTACTTATCTGTTGCATCTCCTAGGTTTGATATTTTGCTCATTTAAAATTTGTTCACATAGTGAACACATTGGTAGGGTGCTTTTCAAACCACAGAGGTAAATCTTCAGTTTTCATTCCCCATAAGCCATCAGTGATTCAGTTTGTACTGCCCAACCACCTGCTTTTCATCACATGAAGGATAATGATGGAAAAGGCATGTACATGGGCTCAGGAAGTGCATAAAAGCATTCTCATTCCAAATATTCTCTTGTACTTACTCCCTCTCTGGTTAACATATCACAAGAATGCAGAGCTTTATTGTACATATATGAACATGTACTAATCACTTGCTAGTTTTGAATCTAAACAAAATGAATTAAAAAAATATAGTATGGTCAGTAGTGAATAAATGCATGGAGATTTTGATAGGCTGTAATGAAAGGCTAAGATAGAGCTATCTATAAATTATTTGATGTGCCGTTGAGCACTTGTTTAATTTATACATCAATAGCATACATTACTGTGTTTTAATTCCTCAGGGGCAGGGTCTATTTACAGAATGGAAATGTAAGTTATGAGGAATAATTTTTTGGTTTCTTCTCTTTTGGAGGAAAAAGAAATAGTAAATCCTCATCAAT